GAGATGTGCAACGGGCGCTGAAGCCTGAGTCCTTTGGTCTCCATGTATCCACCCAAGTTTCTGCGTGCTGCTTTGTCCGCCCATGCGAACAGGTTCATTCTTCCTGATCTCGTCCTCTTCGCATTTCCATTCCAGAGGCACTTGTCCTTGTCAAAGTCGCAGGTGATGGGATCAGAGAGGACGTCCGGTTTCTTCCCGCTCGTTGACGCAATGAACTGATTCAGCACCCTTCTCAGGATGTTGCGCGCGTGCTTCCTAGCGCGGTGGCGTCTAATCCTGCGCTTGTACCTGTTCATGTCTCTCTTGATCGTGTTCTTCACAAGGTTGTTGTAAGAGGTTGCATAATGGCCATTCGCAACGAGGTCCCAAATGTCCATGGCTGCGATGCGACGCTGCTGTTGATGGCTCTTCTCGGCCATCTGCAGGATCAGGTTCGTCTGCAGGAGCACGAGCTGGGTAGCGCAAGATGCATGCATGCCAGTACCCGATCTCCAAGTTGCCTCCTTCAGTATCTTCCCAACCGTTGTGCTGACCATCTGATTGAGCATGATAGCCTGCGTCATGCGCATCGTCTCACTTGCTGTGGGATCCAGCAAGGAACCCATCCACGCCGAGGCGTGCATGATAGGCTCAAGCTCACTGTTGTACTCCTTAATGAACTTGAACCAGTTGGATCGCCTTCGGTAAGCCCACAGGTTTGCCGGGTCTATGTTGCTTTGATGCCAAAGAAAGATATTCTGGCGTCCAGACTTCTTGCTCCCACCGAGCTGGAGTAGCGTTTCCAGGAAACTGTAGGCCATTGTTACAGCGTAGGCCAGCGTAGGGTTCGTGAAGCCTTGGAAGGGGGCCAAATTCCCCAAATACATCACAGCTTGGCGATTTCCCTCCTTCAAGTCCTTGCCTAACACGTTGTTCCAGACCAAAATGCTGGTTGCTCGCATCTCCTCGTACAAGACATGGAATTTTCGCATCTCAAGCTCACTCTTGAGTTTAGGCACGAGGAGGTAATTCGGGACAGATGTCTGGAAGCTGCCGACACGGACCAGCTCTTCTCTGGCCTTCTGGATGTGTGCTTCCGCATGCGAGGCCTCCCATTCCATCCCTGCAGTTCGTGCGGCTTGAAGCAGGAAGCTGGTGTTCGTCAGGGCGCGGTGGATCTCCGGGCTAATCACACCCTGGCGCCAGGCTGCTTCGACTATGGAGCTCGAGACACCACCGTCACTGAGGTCGTTGAATACTTTCATGGCATCAGTGCTGATGCCAAAAAGGCTCAGTAATGCGCATCGCAAGGACACACACCACATGGCACAAGCTTCAATGTGGTTCGGAAAAAGCCTAGCAAAAGCTAATGAAATGGCCAACTCAGGCGACAAACATCCACATTGGGCTCCCGCGCGTGCAAGAAAAGCACAATGACCTCAACATTGTCTGCGCTCATTTGCGATGCTTTGTGGCAGTCGCTCCTGACAGTGGATACATGCAAATCACAAAATTGCAGAATCAAACTGAACTCAGACGTTCAATCCATGATAATAGTTGCAAACCACCAATATGTATACATGTATATATATATATAAACCCCAAACCCTACGTTCGTGAAACATTGCGCTCAGCTGTTGCAAGCGGACATCTAGCTGTTCCTACAAGCAAGCGGAGCATGGGTGTGATACAAAGGCATTCTTGACTGTTTTAACCCTGCCAATCCCCTCATACAAAATGATCCCAATACTTTGCAACATACCACAATGGATTTTTTCAATATTCGGAGGCTTTATACAGGGGAGGGGATTACTAGAGATGCACACCTCACCGCCCGTGGTGCACGCACCCGCCCTGCAGTTCATGCCATCCGCACCCCGAGGCGGGCGGGCAGGCGGGCAAACAAATTTGACTGCAGACGGCCAAAACCTGTGAGAAGTCGCATGTAATCCCCCTTTATTGAGTTTAGATTATAGCTCAAATGGACCTTCTCTGACAACCAGGACAAGGCGTGTCTACCGCAGTGCTCCGCTCAATCTAGTTCGGAGGCTTGCGCAGTGCTACGCCTGCCACGGTACCAGAAATCCGAAAGCAGGGAGCACGACGCAACAAAGCTGCAGTACCGATTAAAAATGCCCTTCAAGTCCTGAATGGTGCAACCTGCTTTATGGCGCTTGAAGGTGAGTACGCTACATCACATAATGCTTGCAGCTCGCCGGGTCCTTGCAGTCTTCATTGCTTGCAGCGGGCTCCGCGCTAGCTCGATCCACTCACATGGACGTCGTGACAAGTACAAACTGCCACCTCTGTGCTGCGTCAGGAAGCGGTCGTGTAGTCAGGTGGCTTGTAGCGACGGCCTTCCAGCTTGGACGTAGGCTTCAATCAACTCAGGCGTTCGTTGAGCACAACTAGTAAACAGAATCCAGAATGCAAACGGACCACCGTGGCAACATGTTGCACGTGTAGTTCCCATTGGTTTCCCATCCGCCCAAACTCTGAGGTATTTGCAACAGAAGCAAAGATGGTGAGATGAGTGAACGCTGAAATAAAACGTTAACATGCTTTTCACGAGCGTTCTTACACAAGGAGTTCTACACAAGTGCATTTGTCTGTTGATTCAGAAGCAACCTAGGACTGGCCCATTGAGTTTGAGATGCCTCTGCCCAAACTTGTTGAGAAACGCAGCTGGGATGCTTCCTGCCTCAGTCAGGCTCGTCCATCGGACCGTCTATGGGACCTTGCAGCCAGTAGCAACGATAAATGCCTCAGGTTTCATAAAATCACTGCCCTTTCGAGGAAGCCTAGCAGTTGACATCGAGGGATTCCTCCAAGGTCTCGAACTAGATCACGACCTTGCCCAGTGCTGCTGTGAAATCGTGAGCCCTAGGCCTTAGGCCGGGCCTTACCACTGGCATACAGCGACAGGTGTTGACGCTTTCTGTGGCAGCCTCTTTGAGCCAACAAGGATATGTCCGTCCCTTCCCGACCTCATACAACACTTGCACGGCAATGAAACCGGCCCCTGCTTTGTTTAGATGATGCCGGCATTGTGCAAAGCAGCTCTGTGAGCGTCCTCACTTACGAGCTTAGCCTCGCAGTTAACAGATTGACCTTGCAACCTATACGTGGTTACAAGGGTGAATTGTGTGCGCAAAGTACCCAGCCATGCATCCACACCATCTTTGCTTTCGCGTTGTCTCATCCAGTTGGAGACGGCCTAGAAGTTGGCAGCAGCAGCATCATCCACTGCGGTAAAACGCAGAAAGAACATTTGCACGCCAAATGGAGGGAAAGGAGCCAGCACGACTCACAGCTAAGTACCATTGCAGTAAGCCACGAAACTTTTGCAAGCATCCAACGGAGGAAGAAAAAGAGCGATTAAGCTCCAGGAAGGTCGCACAACTACAGGAGCCTCATGTGCCACAAGATGCGCAACAAACTTCTTGCCTCTCGCGGCCATGATCTGCCGGACTGCGCCAGTCTGCAGACAGGCTCTAAAATTGTATCAGCACAAACCCCTGCAAGCTTACAATATATGGACGTTCGGAAACACATCGGGATCCGCGGCCTCGACTGAAAGGTAATAAGCTCGTGGCCACCTGAGCAAGGTTGCAGCGGTTGCATGCAAGGCCCAGACGCGCCAGTGCGATGCTTGTTGCATCACATGCAACATCATGCAACAGACCGGCAGGCTGCTCCAAAGAGTTTTAGTCGCATCATCTAAATTGATAGTCAGCTTTTCGTCAACAGCCTTTCGAAACAGCTGCTCTCTATGCCAGAAATCACCCAGGTAAAGCATTCCACTTGCTTTGCTGGGTGGTAGCCTATAGTTTTGATGCTTTAGAACATGGATACCCTTCTGAGAAATCCAGGAATGCTTTGAAACAGGACTCAGCTGTGTCCTGAAGCGCCGGTTCTTGGATTCAAGAATAGCCGGAGTAGCAGACCAGCAGCAGCAAGTTCAGATCAAAACAGAACGTTCAGAAGAAGATTATTACAAATACCATTGCTATTATCAATTACTATTTATGTTACTTTTACTATTAGTATTACTATTGTTCATGGCTATTATCTATTACTATCATTTATTACTGGGCCTGGAGATTCTCCGGCTCGAAGTTGCAAACTGCTGCGAGCTTAGCCTCAGGTCTCAGCTGTTGGAGTCTCACTCTGGTTCTCTTGCCTGGGCATCAGAAGTTCACATCTTTTCTACCTCCCAAGAAACTCAAATTAATGTCATCCTGCATCAGCAGGCCAGTCTTGCTTCCTAGCAGTTCTTGCTCCTTGGTTCTTGAAAGGACTCAGCGTAATGCAATTCGGAGTTCTGAGCAATGGCAAGACCCTGACACATATCCAACTCAATAGCCGATCAGCTAAACTGCAGTACTGATGACACCCTCTACACAGAGATGCTTTCGCACACTGCATTCTGTCGGATGTAGTTTTCCCACTTGGATTACATGTCTTCACACGGGTTTTGCTGATCCTGTTGCATGTCTCATCCTCTGGATCTAGGGCTGAAGCAGACCACGTTCCTCCCCGGAACTCTAATCTTCATACTCGCGAGGACTCTCATTGTACCATAGAACAGGGATATATGGTCCCTAATTGTCGGTATTTAGGGTATGTAGAGGGTAGATAGTAGTTCGGAGGCTTGCGCAGTGCTCCGCCTGGCACGGCACCAGAAATCCGAAGCCAAGCAGGGAGCACAATGCAACAAAGCTGCCGTACCGATTCAGAATGCCCTTCAAGTCCTACATGACAACTGTCTCCCACTGCACTGAATTGCTTGCATGACGACCAGGCTCGCGACCCTGCTATGCCAACAAGAAGGACAGCGCTGCTCGCAAAAGTCTTTTGAGCAAAGGTCCTTTCTTCCCTGGGTCCTGCAAGAGTCTGGCCCCATTAGCGGGAGGCTTTCCAAGTTTGTCCAAGTTCGAGATGTCAGAAAAACCTGTTGGCCGCCGTTTTCGCGGAGCTAAACATACCTACTAAACATGCTAAACTCGCGCAGACTGCGCTCACTTGGCCAGGAAGCTCACCAAGTAGGCAGGGTAAATTTGGTAGTCCCGGTACGACATGAGCGCAAAGAAGCCTGACCCTGGCACCACGTCGCCACGCACAGAGTCATGGTGGTCAGGCGGTTTGATCAGGTTTCGGGTGTGGACCTTGCCCTCTGCGCTGTCTGTGCTGTCGTAGGTTCCATCAGTCATCTGCGCAATGGTGCCCGCAGCGAACCGGCAGAGAAGCATCTGACGGGTGCCCGTGGTTGGGCAGTCATAGCAGTAGTTCTTCTGGTCGCAGTACTTCGCATTCTCGGCCGTGTACGTCGCCTTGCCGAACATGTTGTTGGTTTCCCTGCTGTAATTCTTGTCGATGCCCACTTCGCCCCGACAGATAAGCCTGCCGTCCGTCTTCCCCGTGCCATGCTTGACCCAGAGCTCATTTGCCGAGCCCTTGTTGCGTGGCTTCTTCTTGAGGGCCTGGCGTGTGAAGTAGTAGTTATCCCAGAGCGCTGGGTTCACAACACGCTCGATCTTGGTGATGACTCGATGCCAGACGTTCTTCGTTGCGCCGAGGCCAGTCTCATCCCTCATGAGCTGCTCCACTTGGTTGTACTCCTCGGAGCCTTCAGGCACATCATAGAACTGAGGGGAGGACATGTCCTCAGCTGTGGGTTCCCACTTGAACCAGCCCTCGTTGGGATACTGCACCTCTCGCTCAGCGACCTTTCGCTCCAGGCGCTTCACCTTCCCATGCTTCCAGCCACTGCACTCAGCTCCACAGACGCCACGCGGCCATTCTGCTTCAGAAACCTTCGCAGGTCCGCCACCGCCGCCTCCGGATCCTCCTCCCAGTCAAGATCCAGAGCCAACTGTGAGCTTCGTTCGGCTGCTGCAAGGCCATCAGCCACAGCTTGCTGGGCATCTTGGGTGCTAGGCATGAGCCCCGTGAGATGCAGGCGCTCGACCTGCGCTGCATGCGTGAAGACGCGGCCTGCGCCTTCGGCTGCGGCTGCTGCTGCTGCTGCTGCTGCTGGGGGCGCGGCAGATGAGCTGGAGGCCGGCTGGCTTGCTGCGCTTGCTGTGCTGCCGTGCTTGGCATCCCAATCCCGGGCAGTCTGCTGGTAGAGTGCCGTGGCCTCCTTGAAGATGATCCCAAAGTTGGGCACCAGCGCCAGGGGCATCGCCTTCACCTCACTGAAAAGCAAAGAATGACACTTTATGAACAATGTTGTCCCACAGAGCCATGGGGGCCCAGGCCTTGCGCTCGAACTTGGAGGCCCGGTTCACCTGCACCGCCAGATGGTCAGGGCCAGGCTCGACCTTCTTGGAGTCCGAGTACTTGCCCTCACGATCCCCAGTGACGGTGATGACGGGCTCATGCTTTGCGAAGGCATGGTCCAGCTGCAAGGCCTGGTCGTAGTCGTAAGGAACCCAGCCCTTGCCCTTTGAGGTGCAGTCGTACATCCAGCAATGCTTTGGCATCACAGGCTGCTGGAAGACTGGTCTTGATTCAATGCTTGCTGCAGGCCGAGGCATGTCATCGAATGAGCGCATTGCCTGCGCGAGGGCCTGGACTGCGTCCAAGTTGGTGTCCGTGAACACGATGGTTCTTGGGCCAATCGGCCAGGCACCCGATCAGCACCCGCACAAGGCCAGGAAAGTCTCTAGACCAGCCGAAGATGCCTGCACCAATCATGGGCAGCGCGAGGCTTTCTACGCCCAGTCGTCCTGCTACATGAAGCAGGTGGCAAATGACACTGTGCATTGACTGCTCTGTGCGCGGTGCCGCCAGCTCAGGCGCGCAGATATGCAGGACCCTTTCGAAGCCGGCATCACTCAGGCCATGTGCGCCCGTGACCACCACGTCGCCAACTGACAGCAAACCACGGCTGTTGAGGACGCCTTCGCACTCTTCCACGAGGCCCGGGCCACCGCGCCGCTTGATGAGGCCACCAATGCCTGCAACGTTGCTTCTCAGCAGTTGATTTCAGATATTGCGTGGGGATTTGATCAAGAGTTCTCAAGTTCCTCAAGGCTGCCCGGTGGCCATTTGCAGAATTCACCAACGCCTTGGTGCGCGCGCCATCAATGAGGTCACCGCCCTTTGGGCCTGCCATGCTGGTGCAAATGATCCCCAAAATGACTGAGGTCCTCGCCGCACTTCCACCTAGCACGCATTCGGGAGCCTGCATTGAAGCAGCGTGGTAGAGGTGGAGGAGGTGGCAGCGGGCGATGCGAGTGCATCGGGCAGGTTCCACCAGACTGCCGTGGCCGTTGCCTTTCGCAGGATTTCCCGGCCCTCCGGTGTTCCCAAGAGTTCGGCTTGGCCTGGCTCCAGCGGGAGCTCCCGACACTCCATCCTGGAGCACAAAAAATTCTTCAGGATCTGCTGACACATGGCCAAGGTGTCTTGCGCGTTCTCTGCGAGGCAGGAGATCTGGGCAATGATGGTTGCCTGCTTGATGGAGACCACCTTGCATGGAACGCCTCTTGAGCATTTGATGGACGTGCACGTGACGTTCAGCTGCTTGATGAGCTCTTGCTTCACATCCTCACACACTCTCACAGACTCACAGGTAACTCTGGCATCAAAATGCTTGCGCAAAGGTCCTGGTTTCTGGAGTGGCAGAGGGTTGCAAACTGCTGCGGCCGGCAGCAGGCCTCCAGCGCTGCCATTGCTGCGTCAACGTTCTGGGCCTTTCCACAGAGCTGGAGGGACCAGGCCATATCCCAACAGCCCCACTCGGGGATCTTGGCCAAGCTATGGTCCAACCAAACCTTCTTCAGGACTGCATCAGCAAGGCCATGGAGTGCGTGGGCAGGAGGCTCCCACCACTTGTCCTGGCAAGTCTGGCAGAAGCACCTGCGTCACAGAAATGAAGCTTCATGATGCTACATATGATGCTACATGATGCTTTATGAATCATCATGCTCCTGCCACTCTCAGCTTGAGGAAAGTAGCTTCCGGCCTCAGCTCCTGCTCTAGCTCCTTGGCCTGCACACACCGCGCCATCTCATGCCATGCGCAGCCATCACATGCCATGCGCAATGCGTACAATTAACCCACTTAAGCAGCAATCTGGGCTGTTACGCTGCTGGGCCTCCTCTTCCAAGGAGGGGAAGAACGCTAGGCTGATGCGGCCATCTGTGAAGTCGATGGAGTAGGCCGGGATGTCGGCACCGCCTTCGTCGGAGTCCCCGTCATCGCGTCCGTGGGATGGAAACCTCTGGCGCAGAAGAGCAGCAATGAAGAGGGTCGTGGTCTGGAAGGGATGGCGCCCGGAGGTACGAGGAGCCACCAAATCCACCGGCGCTTTCACACAGATGTCTTTACAGAGGCTGCGGAGCCAATCAGCGGCCTTGCCTCGCAGAGTGGCTGTGGCCTGAGCAGATCGCCATCAAAACATGTGCGCATGGTTCGGGATGTAGTACGACATACTGCTTTTTGCTGCAATCCGCCTCTTTGAAGTCCACCTCCACATCCACTTCCAGGGTTTCGAGATGCCGCTGGGTGGCGCCCCATCCTCGCTGCAAGAGCCTGGCCTCAGCGCTGTGAGGCTGGCCCTGGAAGAGGCGCACGTCCTCGGCACGCTTGCAGCCGTAAGATGTGCTTTGCATGGCTTCTTGCATGTTATGCGCTACAAGTAATATACTTTACACACAAACATGTGACAGACTTGCAGTGGACTCAGAGGGTCCTCGGCATGGACTCCCATCGACCTGACGTAGTCGCTGACCTCGGCCACGCCCTCACCACTACCTCGCCAGGCAAGGATCACAGCCACATCGGCTGCCATAGAGTTGGCCTCCTGCAGGAAGAGCACACCGGTCTCGCGGCAGTTCTGAAGCTTTACTTGCATGGAGGGCCGGCAGCTGATCCGGCGCCAATCTGCATGTTGACTATGCGAGGCCTGGCCACTCGAGCCTGAAACCTGGTCCTCAAATCGGAAGGTCACGGAATGCGTGCAGGTCCTCGCTGGTCCAATCCTTGGGGTGTTTCATCCACATCTGGATCATCGCCTCCTCCTCATTGAAGGGCCGCAGAGAGAACTGAATAGGCCCAGAGCACCACTTCAGGAGCTTTTGCTTTGCAGCATTTGCAGCTGCACAGTCGAAGTGATGGTTGTCCAGCATGCACCCCCCCAACCAAAAGATCCGGTAGACAGCGACTTGCCACTTGTCCCAGCACCTCGCCATGATGTCGGACTCCGTCAAGTCAGACTTCACGAAAAGCTGGTGGTCCCTAAGCTGCAGGGCCTGGGATGCTTGGGATGTTTGGGATGGCACTTTGGGCTTCACACCCAGGATAAAGACACTGAGGCCATGCAGGGAGGCCAAGGTTTTCAAGGTGCTGTCTCCGGCAACCTGCTCGCTGCTGAGCCCTGAGACGTGCGCAGGATCGGAAAGCTGGATGTCCTGCAAAAAATGCTCCGTCAGCCTCCGTGCTGCAGCAAGCCCGTCCTTTCCTTCCTGCAAGCTTCCTTGCTGCGCCGCCAGCCTGGCGGAAATTGATGGATGGGCCTCTTGCAATTTCAAGTTCAAGTCCCTGAGGCCGGCGGGGACTGTGTGCAGGAACCGCATCTGAGGCTTCTTGATGCCAGAGATCACGTTCTCCTCAGCTGCAGGCTCAATCTCCGGCAGCACTCCCTTGCGGCTCTTCTCCACCATATCCGCCCACTCGTCCAGAGTATAGTCGGCATTGCCCTGGTAGGCCGTCTTCGCTGGGGCATTCTTTGAGAACACGATGCAGACCCTGACCCCATCCACGTCGGTGTCTTTTCGGAGCTGCCGGACCTCATGGGCAAAGTCCGAATCGCCTGAGATCACCACAACCAAGGCGCCATCCTTCTCTGCCTGAGTTTGCTGCCGCCAGTGCCTGTTGGCTTCAGACATCAACCTCTTCAGCTTGTCGTCCACAGAGCCCGGCTTTTGGTCTGCACACACCAAGTTCACACCCGCGACGTTCATGTCCTGCTGCACCATGGGGTGTGGCTTCCAAGGGCTGTCCACCGAGAAGTTGAAGACGAATTCCACCTGTTCAGGTGGGTGCAGGTGCGCAAGTCACAAACTGACAAACTCAGAGCAGGCTTAGCATGTGGTCCCCGCCTGAAGTCGATGCTCTGGATGGCCCTTTGGGAACCAGGGCCCTCGGAAGAGCATCTCCTTCAGCACATCGAAGCAAATGGGCCGTGCGTTGCCAGGCTTCAGGCGCGGCCGGAGCTTGCTACCACTAGACCTCTCCAGGAGCCACACGCCCTGGCTGTCGCACTCGAACTCTGCATTGGGAAGGGGGCTGTTCTCACCATCATGGAAGATGTGGATGTAGCTCAAGGGCGCCTTTGCCCTCGAAGGCGCTGCTGCCTCTGCTGCCGGGGCTGTGGCTGTCCCACCCGGCACTTGGCCATCCGAGACAGGGGCTGGACTTCGATTGGCTCGTCTCCGTTGGAGTCGAAGATCTCCAATGCCCTTGCACCTGAAAGATCATCCCACCAACGAAGATGCCCTGAAAGGTCAGCACGATGCTCATGGTAGCCTCGACCTTACGAATCACCCTGTCCGGGTCCACCATGGTGATGTCGTCGGCCGTTGCAACCACCAACTCGGAGGCCAAAGGGCTCGCCGGGATCGGAGGGCTGGCAAGGCTCACGGCCAGGGAGCGGCGTGCACATTTCAGCTTCCCCGCTTTTCTCTTCCTTCTTGCCCGTTTGAGTTGGAATGGAATTCAGAAATGGAAACTACTATTAGTGGGTTATATAGGGACTACTTTCTAAGGATCCATTCTATCATTCCCAAACTAACCAAAGGCCAGCTTCTGGAGCATCCGGTCGATGAAGCCTGGGCGAAGCTCCGTGGCACGGAACTCCCAGGAGGCAGCCTCGGGTGAGGCCGCCAGGATCTCCAAGGTCACCTGAGTGTAGGCTCATAGTATCCCCCTCAATTATTTCAGAATTTAGGGTTCAGGCTCTAAACTCCTAGCATCCACCCCTAGAACAGTCC